CTTGCATAAACCAGGTATTCGTCGCCATGAGTTTATTCTCTCTGCAATACTCAATTAGTTTCTCTCCTCTTTCATTTCTCTTTCCTAATCCATATTTGCCAACCTCCTTACCATCAGCGCCTTCACCTAACACAGCATTCCAATCACCCATGATTATCAGATATTCATTGGCTTTTTCTGCTGCAATCAGCTCAACTATTTGTTCATACAATTTGTCCACTTCCTCGTCGTCGCTTGCTGAAGTCGGCATATAGACCTGCACCACTACAATGTCCACTGGATCCGCCTCTATTTTCACCAATATGAGTCTATCGCTATGTTGAACCATCTTCTTGACTCGCTTCCCTGTTTTCTCATCAAGAACCACAGCTACTCCTTTTGCACCACCTTTTACTCCACCTGAATGTATGATTCTGTACTTGCCACTCCAGTAGTCGCCTTGCGCTTTCCATCTTACTTCTGCCAATCCAAGAACATTCAGTTCATTTTTCGCCATCTCTATCTTCACATTCTCTAGTTTCTCGTTCATCATCATTGATCTGACATTCCAAGTACCGACTTTCAGTGTTTCACAAGGATTTCGTCGAATAACGACCTTGGAAGCCTTGTCTCTCCCACTGCCGGACGCGACATCACTGGCTATTCCAGTGATCCCGATGACGTCGTTAGCGTTTGTCTTTCTTTTTGTTGTCATTTCATGCCATGTCTAGGGAAGTTTCGACGAGGTAGTTTCCCGTTGCTTTCCTCGTCAAATTATAGAGGCTTATATTCTAACCCTCTAATTGAGTTCGGTTCAGTACATTCATCATCGGTTTTATTTGGCTAAATAGGTGCAGGTTTATTTAGTGGTTGGCGGAAAGTTCATGCTGTTAAATGTGTTTGTATAGAGGTTAGAGGATGTTTTGTTATACAAGCGAGAAACATCGCATTTTCTGTGTTACTGACTGTGTAATTGTAGTAACTGTACTTTTTATAAAGGACTGCGTTCTTTTCTTTATTGTTGAAAGAGTGATATGCAGTTTAGTATGAGGTATATATTGACAGACTTACTTTTACACGGTGCATGCCAGCCGCCGGTTTGCTTTTCAGCAGAAAAAGTAATAATAGGAAGAAAAGAACTGGACGTGCGCAAAGTAAAAAGAATGAGAACTTTACTGACTAACTGGTAAACGTGAATATCAAAGTACTAGTTTTACGTACAACCGCAATTATGCTAACCCAATGAGAATAATGCTCTTTCGACGAGAATTTTGCATATACCTATAACTACTTTCTGCTTCTCTGTGAGAATTCTACGAGAATTATATACAATTAACGAGATATTATGCTTTCTCCACGAGAATTTAGATATGTTCATAGCCATTTTCTTGTCTAGTACACGTTTCTACAAATTTCTATTGACCGACGATATAAAAAAGCAGAAGCACTACACGCGCAATGTGTCTTCGTAACATAAAACTAGTACTTTAATACTGACATTTACCAGTTAGTCAGTAGTCTCATTCTTTTACTTTGCGCACGTCCAGTTCTTTTCTTCCTATTATTACTTTTTCTTCTGAAAAGCAAACCAACGGTTGACATGCACGTTGTAAAAATAAGTCTCTCAATATATACCTCATACTAAACTGCATATCACTCTTTCAACAACAAAGAAAAGAACGCAGTCCTTTATAAAAAGTACAGTTACTACCATTAGACAGCTAGTAACACAGAAAATGCGATGTTTTTCGCTTGTATAACAAAAAAATCCTCTAACCTATATACGAACACATTTAACAACTGATAACGATATTTTTTCCTACCTTGCGATCTCCGTCTTCCAAACCACGCAACAGATTAGGCTGAAACTTTTCAAATGTAAGTCTGCTGGTTCTCTCACCTCTGAAAGTTTCAATTTGATTCGTCGCATTGATCAAAAGTTATAGCGAAAATAGAGGTCGTGACGGAATGACAAAAAAAATGGAAATTTTTTACATTTAACAGCATGAACTTTCCGCCAACCACTAAATAAACCTGCACCTGTTTAGCCAAATAAAACCGATGATAAATGTACTGAACCGAACTCAATTAGAGGGTTAGAATATAAGCCTCTATAATTTGACGATGTTGGGAAAGCTTAACATCAGATTAAGTCAAATTATTCAAATACTTCATCTACCCGTCGTGTACTAGACAAGAAAATGGCTATGAACATATCTAAATTCTCGTGGAGAAAGCATAATATCTCGTTAATTGTATATAATTCTCGTAGAATTCTCACAGAGAAGCAGAAAGTAGTTATAGGTATATGCAAAATTCTCGTCGAAAGAGCATTATTCTCATTGGGTTAGCATAAATACGGTTTCTTCATTTCTCTCCCACCCCTCGCTTAACATAGTCCCTGTTTAGTCGACCATTTCTTAGTACATGATTTTACTTCAATGCTAGCATTTGATCATCACTATCTTTAGTCTTTCTATCTCAAATACGTTTATGAACACGCAGACTGATTTCGTTCTTGCATACTTTAGCACATGCTACACATGAAACATTCGTGCTGACGACAACATTTCCTGTATCACTCACGGGTGCACTCTTTTTCTGCATGGCTTTTTTACTCTTGTTGTCTTTGAACTGCCTGGTCTTTATATGCGTGTAAAATTTAACCGTCTGCTCATTAACAGGTTTCTCGGCGCCACAACTGATCTTTCTGCGCCATCGATCCTCATAGGAAATTATATCGATTTTCTCAGGGGAGGTTTCTTCTAATTCGTCTTGAGGATTTCTAATCTGTTCCCAGAATGATGACGCAATGGATATTTGTTGCCGAATACACGAAAATTTGGTTTTACATGGAACGTAGCGCCGTTCTTCTTTACAATTGTATATTTATGTGCTGGTGCTTATTTGTTTTTGTTCTATATATATGATAAAGAAGAAAAGACAGGAAAATGTACACACTTAGCGCAGCCAAAAAGTTTTGACAATATTACTCAAAAATTTTATACTGATTGTTTCTGTTCTCGACGTGAGCTTTTTCTCATAGCTACAACAATTATGTACTAAACTGTCGATGTCAATTTTTACAACTCTCTATTATCTCTGATTTCCAGTTACTTTTACCTTCACCTGTACTTTTAGATCGATTAACAGTGTAGTTATACGCCGCTATATAAAAACTCGCTCGTTATTTAGTTTAAACGCTACACAAATCCATGACAAACTGGTTAATGCTAACGGTCAGGATGTATGTGTTATGTATCATGTCGTACGCTTGTCCGCTAGTTCCATGGTTTTTCAACTGAGTGAGAGTCGCTAAAAGAGGTGGACCCCAATTTTCTAGCCTAGCTACATCTGTGAAATTTTCAAAAAATACATCGGCAGGAAGGCAGTTTGCATTTCTGAGGAGAGGCCCTTTAAAAGTGACTCTGTTTGGTAAAACAATGACTGGATGTACTAGTATACAAATAATAACTTTATCTTTCAGTATAAAATAAAACATATGAAAAGTAGTAAAATACGTTTGTCGTCTGCTGTATCTTCGAAAGAGAAAAGTCAACGGAAAATGAATAGGTTTACTAAGTGCGACAGACTCGGAAACACTGGATGAGGACCATAAAGATGGATGAAGAATATAGTCAAGACATGACCATTGGTAGTAGTAGGCCTTTCTGGAAATGAAGACATAAGAAGAGAAAAAATTTCTAAAAAATCGCATAAAGAGTTATCACAACAATATGTTTTGGGCCAGCATTAAAATTTCCACAGACAGTTGAGAAGTTGTATTTAGAAGCTGGTTTACTACAAAGAAATGTTTCTAATTTTTCAAAGTCTATCGGATCCGTTGATGATCGACGATAAAAATTACACACGTAGACTATCAAATGATCCGAAGCGAGCAAAAATCAACTATGATTCAGTGTCTGTCTCATTTGCAACTAAAGAATGTAAGAGAGAATTATAAAATAATCACTACTACTCCACCTTCTAGACGATCAGTGTGGTCATTTCTGCAAACAGAATATCCTGGTATGACGATCTTATCATCAGAGAGGTACTCACGCTATTTCCGGTTTCCGGTAAGTTAAAGTTAAGCCTTTTCAAGCCCATCTTTTTCACAAGACTTTGATTGGTGATCTTCATAGATCGTATCCATCCTGGTGCTAAGCGTCGATGAAACTGCAGCTATGGACGAGGAACCAGCTCATCTCACAGTCTTATGAGCAGAGACAACAGGTGAAATCCAGGATTCTTATAAACAAAGAATGTCAGAACGATTGCTCGGTTTCTCGATCGAGAAACATCCTCAAAGGATCAATATTTTTTCCCAAACCTTAAATATTACGACTGAATACTCGTATGGAAGTAGATGATGAAGTCTCAAATTGTGAAGCTTGAGAAGGCACATCTCCATCTGTTTTGAAAGAAAAAGGAGATACTAGTGGGTTCAGATTAGATGAGAAAAATGGTAAAGCTAACAGACTTAATCACAATTGATCATGGTGGAAACTGGAGAGAAAACAATAGACGTAAGATTTGGAGAATTTGTACCAGTCTGAGGCTCTTGGTGATGAGAGTGATTCTGAAGATAAACCTATCTAGGAGAAAAACCATCTTATGGGAAAACAAAATCAGAATAAGGAGACTGATTAATCCCTT